AATGTAAACACTATTATATAATACGAATTCTATCATCTCAATTGGAATAAGGTATGACTTACATAATATACAACTGAAGGAATCAATAAGGTCAAACTGTTGGGTATCAAATGACCTTTAATTGATTTGCTCATATTGTGTCTGAAGATTCGACATTCTGTGGTCTGGATTAACCTTACTTTCTCTCAGGCTATGGAGTGTCCTAGTGGGGTCCCCTAGTGTTTAATACCAGGATATCTTATTTTCTTAATTTTTATAGACGACCTTCCACAACAGGCATCGTCAGACTTATTACTTTTTGCTGATGATGTGAAACTTTGGAGAGAGATACCCAACCGTGAGGATTACTGGCACTTCAGGACGATCTGACCCGACTTCAAATTCGGGCAGACGACAACGGACTTACCTTTAACACTTCAACATGTAAAGTAGTCCATCTGAGACATGTTGCAGACTACAGTTTCAACTTAAGAAACTCCTCTCTAGTAGCATTCCGAGTCGAAAAAGATTTAGGAGTTCTGGTACCCTACGATTTCAAGTCTTACGCTAACTGTGACAAAAATGCCTTTCGAGCAAACCTTGCACTGGTAACATTGAAGCGCATTTTGGGCCAGTTTGATGGAAGAACTTTCCACATAATCTTCAACAGTTTCATTCGTTCCCATTTAGAATACGGAAACATAGTATTTCCTCCCTCACTCCAAAAGGAGAAGGACACTTTGGAGAGTATCCAACGGCGAGCCATGAAATCAGTTCGGGGACTCGAATCCAAGCCTTATGAAGAGCGTCTCCAGTCACTAAACCTTTACCCATTACAGTATAGGCGTCTTAGAGGTGACCTTCTAATGAATGGCCTACAGTATCCTTAACACTTCTGGACATCCCCTTAAACACCCAATTAAGTTTAGCTCCAACAAAAACATAAGGGGTAACACCCAGGAACTAGAGACACGACACAGCAGAACGGACTGTAGCCACAAATTCTGCTTCCGAAGAGTTGTGAAACGGTGGAATTCGCTGTCGACTGAGCTAGTCCAAGCGACTTATCAGGAGTTCTTTAAGAGGCAACATGACCTATTCTTAAGGACTAAGGATAATATCTTACTGTGATTTACCAATTACTTTTTCCTCTATTATCGTTAATATACCTAGGTTCGTGCCTGGAGGTGTTGATGATCCACTGCTACTAAACACGGATTTGCGCTAAGCGAAAGCTTTTTCTATTCCATCTACAACCATGTGAACCATTTGTAAGCCATTTGTGGTTGCCATTACGATGTCGGAATAATTTTGCTAAACATCACAGGAAATTTCCTATGTCAACACATTTGAACATATGTATAGGAAAATTTTTCTCTTTGCTGATGAAATGATATATTATGTTTAAGGGATCTATTAAAAAATATATACAGTAAGCGGCATGTTCAGATGCCTATAAATTAACTTTCCCAAAAAACACGAATAAAAGGCGGGGAGTCAAGACTTCTCTCAAGTAACTGATGTCAGGGGGGAAAATAAACTTTTTCACTTCATTCACCCCGTCGACCTCTTTATTTCTCATTTGTTCACCTTAATTTTTCCTTTATATAAAGGAAAAATCAAGTGAACAACCAATATTGGTTGTTTGGTATAATTAATTAGGGATTTCCTTAAGGAAAGTTGATGAAAATAGATGACAACGTATCAAATAGTCGCAATATTCCCCAGTTCGGTATAAATTGTGCGAATTTTTCCCATCTTAGGGGAATGTCTTGAAATTAACAGTCGTTTCCCAAGAAGTATTGAAGAGGACTTTCCGACATGTCAGTTTATTCAAATCTTAGCCCTAAAGTGTAGTTGTTTATAACGACCATAGAAAAGTCTCCACTTGACGTAAGCAGAGTGCATAGGCTTTTCATATTCACGAACAATGCTGTTTTTAGACAGACGTTTTCTATGTTTTCTCTAAACTGTATGCAGTGGTATTTTCGTGAATATATGACGAATAAATCAATGAAATTAGTTTACCGATCACTGATAATGAAGTGAATCACACGACTGATAATAATAAATAGGTTCACTTGCTAATAGTATGACGGATGTCCTAGCAGTGATAAAAAATAATATTCGAATATTCTCTAAATTAACATTTAAGTACTTAAAGCTTGTGGCTTATCTAAGGGTACGCTATTGTTGAACTAAGAAGTTATAAGCATTGACAAGCCACGTGAAACCTCTTTTAGACAGTGTTTACCACTCTACAATTAATTGGCAAACTATACTCACAAACTTCATGAAAAAACCGAAAGAAAGGTAAATGGATTGAATCTCAATTTCTTTAAATATCTAAAACGTGCAGCCCAAAATGAGTCAATAAAATCAAAGAATGCCAGTTACGAGTTAATACTATGCTGGAGTTTCAGGGAATGAAGCAGGGTAAATGTCTACGAAAGACTAATCGATTTCGGGACATACAACTTCAAATCCTCAACTCAATATTACTACTTCAGTGAGATCAGATAAAAAAGAGAAATGTGGGCAGTCCTGATTAACTCCATTTGTGATAGTCAATTCGATTATCAGTTAAATGTAAACTCGGACTGCACTACCAATATTTAAATAAAGTCACTCATAAGTTAACGCTGGTCGACTTTCATCATATAGTAGGCTTATACCACATTGATATAGACCTTCCTACCAAGTTTACCTAGTACAGGTGCTTGTTTAACGCGCTACTTTAAAGCGTTATGCGTAGATACATATATTTACGAGTTTCAACAGTGCATTTATTAACGTCCATATCTTTGAACATTGTATGCTCAAATCTGGTGTTCAATCCTATTACTATCACCGTAGTTTTCCGATTTTCTGTTTGGTCTAATGTAACTGACTCAAAACGTTTTAGGCTTGAGCTCCCATATTTTCTACCAGAAGTAAAAGAAATGTGGACGTGCAAATAATCTTATCAGTATGGGGTTGTGGAGATTATTAAGTTTTGATTGAGATCATGAACCAATTGATGCTAGACCACCACTGAAAACCTGGAAGCGCTGGACGGCCGATTCATCCTATTGTCGGACTCTTCAACAGTGCGCATCCACAGTCCCGCTCGCGGGATTCGAACCCAGGGCCTTCGGTTTCGCGCGCGAACGCTTAATCTCTAGACCACTGAGCCGACATCCAACGGTGTTAGTGTCTAACCTCAACCAATCCACGAAGTGGCGCTACCATCTTCCATTATACTGAGGTAGATACCTGTCTCTACTTGACACGGACTAGCTCCACTGGTCACAGCCGGTCACTAGTGAGCACATGGAAATCTCATTAAAAAAATCTTATATTTAGAATCGTACTTTGTGGGATACTTCTCTGTTCATAAGTAGATTTCCGTTTGGAAATTCTACGTTGTGAGTGTTCTTTTGTTTACTAAATTACTGTCCTTCATTATTTATGCGAGGTAACCTTTTTTAACTGATAACGGGCGAAACACACCAACAGCTAAAATACAAATTAATCGGCTTTTCAAATAAATAAACGACAGTCTTACAGAATGAATGAGTAATGATGTTACGTCGGTACAAACTTGCGTAATGTACAATTGCTACAGATCTGTATTTTGTTTCACTTAGTATTGTCAGTGTTATCGTTACAATAGTAAAATACTAGCATTGTAAGTAGACTGAGAAACTGCATAAAAGTTGTGATAATGAAACTAAATTTAGCAATCGATAGCTGATGTGAAAGGAGTAAAATGAACTTAATGCTGATGGTCATTATGATTTTTCTTGTAATTAGACTATTCTCGTATATAAATTACAAGACAATCATGCAACCCTGAACTCACAACCTAAATAATGACATGGAGGCGATCAACTCTGCATTCTATGATGAAAACTGGATGATTTACTCGGTGCCGCCAGGATAAAAGACATGAACTAATTTCAGACGGTTACATTATTGGGTAACTCAACCATTCATACTCTGGCCAGTTCCAAAGAAGCAGAAGGTTAATTTTTAGATAAACTCACGAAAACAGAATAATAAGTGTTATAAGGTATTCACCAGGTTTTACACAGCACGAACTATGAAACACTACAGGTCAGTAAGAAATAAGTGTATGATTAAATTCCGGGAAGTTAAGAGAAAACATGAAATGCATCCGTCAAAAACTGTAACCCAGCAACCCAAAGAGACTATTCTCGTACATGAATTACAGAACAAGGATGCAGCACTAGATATACAACCTAAATAATGACAGAGCAATCGGAGATGATAGAGGATGATTAGAAAATAGCACAGGCTTTTGCAAACTATTTTGGGGCAGTTTTCACTCAGGAGCCCTTTTAAACGAGGACCTACACCAAAATACGAAGTCGAAAAACCGCCTGCTTTCTGTAGACTTCGCTGGAAACGACGTTTTAATACCCTTGGCATTTTAGTCACGGAAAAGTCAACAACATCGTATGAACTACACCCCAAAATCCTGAGACAAATTGTAGCCCCACTAACTTTGATATTCAAATAGTAACTTGACCATGATGTGTCATCTACGGACTGGAAGGATGCATTCATCACTCCAATACATAAAACAGGACCAAAGCAACTCCATCAAACTGCAGACCTGTCAACCTCATCAGTGTTGTAGTTAAAATACTGAAAAGAATAGTCCAAAGACCGTTTATCTCGCACAACAAACCCCCTTATAGTAAGGGAGGAATGAACAGAGGCCTAAGGCAGTTGTAAATCAGTGAATGTTGTTTGCGTAGGCTCGAGCTAAGCATCTGATAAGGTGCAAAAAATGGGCGACTCGTGTAAATGGGGAACATATTAATTGATATTTTGAGCATTAACAAACGTTTTTGGACTGGATGTATCCTCTCTTTTTCTGCCCACTAAATCGAGACATCTCAATGGACATAGCAGGTGAGTAGAAATTCGAAGAACGAACAAAATATCCGCAACATACTGATTTTCACACCGGTTCGTCAATTCTTTGAACCAGTTACACAAAACAGTGGTGTCCTCGACTTCAGTTGCTTCATTCAAAAGAAGACCAAACATTCACAGAAGCAAACTAGAAGAAGAATAACACAGGCCGTAGGCCTACTGTCCTCAATACACATATGTGATTCTAATGATTGGACTTCTCAATTGGATATTTAATTACTTTGTTACCTTCTGTTTGAATTGAAGGTCGGGTAGTCGTGTCATTTCTAGAGTAAGTTCTTAAGGGATTCATAGACATTTTTATTTAAATAGACACGGCAACATTAACTGGTTGACTTTCGGTTTATGAAATATCAAACGAACATGCATATATTTCTTATTACTCTTAGATTGAGCACAACTTGTGAAAATACTTTGTCCTATAATGAAAATAATACGTTAAAAGTCACATTGAAATTATCTACACCATCGTATATTATCAGTGCTTCTAGATATCTAACAAGACTCCTGGATATTTTGCGACTCGTCCTATGCTATCACAGATTAACATTTACGTTTATAGTCGTATAACTCTAAACAGTACCTTAAAATTAGTGATTGTTGTGTTAAACGATGAGTCACATACAATGTATTATTCTGACATCTTTGCGCTGCTAACCTCCACCATCAAAGTGATTTTTTGTGTCAACTGGCGGAAAACGTGCTTGTTTATTTTTTTTTATAATATGATGCTGATTTTCACCGGTCTGAAGTGCTTTATCTTTGACTGTGCGCTTTATAGATAGTAGTCAACAAACCAAATATTACACATTTGTCTTTGAGCTATGACTTTTGAATGAAAGTTAATATTACCTGGCTGCTGTAATCTTATTAACTGAACCAGATATCCATTCAAAAAGGTAACAAAAACACAATAGTAGTTGTTGTATAAAATGTGGGTGTATGACTGAGGTTTTTTTGGTAGATGACACCCTTTTGGTCATTAAAAGCCCCATCACATGGTTCATAATAAAAGCCAGTAGTAAGTTTTCTGTAGTTTTTCTATTGTACTATTTATATGTGTATTTTAAACCTTGTTAACCGAAATAGACTTATCCCAGCCGTATTTTTTTAAAACTCGCTTTCTTTTTATTTTACATCCTGCTCTTCCATTTACTAGTCATACGATCTCGTACTCCTATTTCTTTGCAACAATAGCATACTACTTTCTTGTTGCATATCCTCTTTATGCCTTTTTCAAAACCTAGTTCGCACGTTGTGTATACGTAAATGAAAGTTTGTGGGAGATAGATTTAGTCTATACTGCTTACTCGACGTTTCTGAATCAGTTGCAAAATAACTTATCTGCTGCCGTACCCAGTGATCACCAAAGACCTAAATGTTCTGAATAAAAAATAATCATTATAAAATCACATATAAGGTGAATGCCACGTAGTCAGCCAGCGCTGAAGTAAAATCCACCAAGATTTAAGACAATGTATTTCAAAACTGGAGTTTTCAATATTCATTAGCTAAAAGTTTTTAAATTACTGATATTACTTAACGTTGTCTTAACAACGAAATACTTAAAAAAATTTTGCTATTTCATTGTGGACGTTTTCAGAAGTGAAAAATTTAAAAAGAATTAAAATAGAGCAAGAACAAACACTGATACAGAATAGTATGAATTCATAATATTTCGAGGTTAAGTTATCTTAACTTTTCAACTTCTATTTAATTATCATTACGTGACCTATCTTATCATTATTCAATTCCATTAATCACTAAAATTAATTCCATTTTTTTAACCTCTGACCTGTTCTAGCATATATATATATATATATATATATATATATAGTTATTTATTGTAATCCAGTTATTTACACTCATTTATGTCACTTGTTTCACACTATTTCAATGTAAAAATTCTATCACATTTTTGGTTGTAAGCAGCTGATGAGAAACCTCGAAATATTATGAATTCATACTATTCTGCATCAATGTTTGTTCTTGCTCTATTTAAATTCATAAAGAGAACCAATTGCATGAAATTTCTAAAAAGAATTATTCTTTAATCTGAAAAATATTGTTTGACATCACCCTGATAGACCTGGCTGCGAATTATCAAGACCAAAATCAGCACAACATTCCCACATGAAATTTTGTAAATCTGTAATTATATTTACAGGATCAAAATTTTTAATGGATAAAATAATGATCACATAAAGTAAATTCGTATTCGAATCTCAGTTTTAGTGTAATGTGTATGTTTGCAATTCTGAGATGGTTTCATTTTTTAACATTTACTTTGCCCCACGCTTTCTACTTCAGGGTGTACATCTAGTATTTTATTGGCAACATTGAGTCGATCTTCCTAAACCAATGTTTATAATATTCTTCTCCCTCCTATTTCTTGACTATGTTCGTGGGGAAGTAGTATGGGCCGTTAATTGTGGTGGCCCTAAACACATCGATTCACATGGAGTCGAATATAAAGCTGATTTCTTAGACATGGGTACTGCATCGGACTACGGCCGCTCGTTCGCAATAAATCGTGTCCCCTCAGCAGATCATATAATCTATCAAACTGAACGGTATCACAACGAAGACTTTTCTTATCCTATTCCGATAACATCTGATGGAGAATACATTCTTACGTTAAAATTTTCTGAGGTTTGGTTTACTGAGCGTTATCAAAAAGTGAGTTAAATAATTTATGTATTCTCTCACTGGACAGTGAAGCCAGTTTCTTCGGTTTAATTTATTGCCAATATCTCATACAGTTTTTGTTTCAATGTCAGTGCCACAGCTAAGCACCCCGAATGCCCTGGTACGGCCGAGAGTGGGGTGAGTCCGCTCTCCCTCTCGAAATACTCTCACACGGCCGCGCGTATACAGCCTCTGCCAGGGAAGTCCTACTCATTGCCTTCTCGTGGCGGGGGTGTTGTTTACGAAAATGAGAGGACGAAAAGCGAATGTCCGGCGCTTTAACCGGATCACAAACCAATGGTGCACATGGGCTCCAGTATCCTGCGGGAACAAATGGCGTATGAACCAATCTTTGGTCACCGGCTACCATGGGATTGCATCTCCTTACGATGCTCCACTGCCTTGTGGGTTAGACCTTTAGGTCAAAGGCTCGGGGAGTGGCCCCCTAAGAAAACCACCTGCTTCGGTTTGGGCACCCGGGCAGTATCACAGCCCACACACAAACGATGAACTCTATGTCTTTGGCAACTACTTTTATCGCTCCGAAAAACAATCAGTCGATTCAAATAATTATCATTACTATTATTGTCATTATTAATACTATTATTATTACTATTATTGTCGTTATTATTATTATTATTATTATTATTATTATTATTATTATTATTATTATTTCCCACATTATTCACCCTCTTTTATACTTATACAGCGGCTCGTCTTTGGTGGAAATCCGACTGTATCTAAACGTTCTCGAGTCACTGTCCGGTTGAAAATTGTATGTTACCATCGAATATGAGTACTGAAGCAGTTTTTCTGAAACCACGTGCGCCATTCAAACTGGCTGCCTTCAACGTTCGCACACTTATGCAGGTTGGTCAACAGATAGGGCTGGCTATGTCTTTGGAAAGTCTTAATATTGATGTTTGTTGTCTATCCGAGACCCGTATTCAAGACTCTGGCGAAGTACTACAAATTCGCTCTCCATCTGTCACTTCGAAAAGCTTGTTTTACGTGCGCTTATCCGGGGACCCTGTGGCATCTTCGTCTGGTCTTGCTGGCGTTGGTGTCGCACTAAGCGCTAGAGCTGAGGCAGCACTAGTCGATTGGATCCCCATTAACAGTCGGTTATGTGCTGTTAGATTAGAAAGTTCCATCAAAGTGAGAAGAAATCGGCGTGAGAAACGATGTCTTTTCGTCATCTCCGCCTATGCCCCGACAGATTGCAGCCCGGATGCAATCAAGGATGAGTTTTACCACCAGTTATCTGTTCTTCTCCAGAAAGTGCGTTCGACAGATATTGTAGTACTAGCCGGAGACTTGAATGCTCAGGTCGGGCGTCTAGGCACAGAAGAGAGTCGTTTAGGTGGCCGATGGGGACTCGTTGGTCGCAGGTCAGATAACGGGGACCGTCTACTGCAACTTTGCACAGACCACAACCTGTTTCTGGCTAGCACTAACTTTCGGCACAGTCATCGCCGATGTGCCACCTGGCGTCCTCCCTCTGCATCTCAAGCCTGGACTCAGATTGATCACATCGCGATCAGCTACCGCTGGCGTGGTTGTGTACAAGACTGCCGCTCCTTTTGGAGTACCTATCTGGACTCTGACCATGCCTTGGTCTGCGCCAATCTTGCCTTACTTTTCAGTGGACAACGAAGTGACCGCCACCAACGGATTGATGTTAGCAAGCTGGTTGCAACTTCTGTTGCAAGTAAGTATCGAACCGAGCTAGCCTCTAGGCTAGCTACCACTCCACCGAAAAGTATAGATGAGCATTGGTTGCAATTGCATGACGCCATGAAAATGGCGGGAACAGTCAGTTGTGGGTTTGCGAAACGTCCCGCTTTTAAGCACTGGGTTTCTTCTGGTTCCTTACAACTCATTGAAGCCCGTCGGTCTACTCCGGGTGACCGTGAGTTTGACCATAAACGAAGGATGTTACGTAAGGAAATTGGGCAAAGCTTGCGTAAGGACCGAGAAGCCTGGTGGTCGAAGCGTGCTAATGAGCTGGAAGCAGCAGCTGCATCTGGTAACTACCGGAAGCTCTTCCAGCTCATCCGAGCCACTGGCAGCAAGAAGTCTGGTGTGAGTGAAACAATCTGCGAGGATGATGGGATGCCAATCACTAACATCCATCGACGTCTTGGACGATGGGCAGAATTTTTCGAAGGGCAGTTCAACTGGCCTGCTGCTCCGGCAACATCGGTCAGACTGTCCTGCCCTCCATGGCCGGTGACGACTGATCCACCAAACGAGGAGGAAGTCCGCAAGGAACTCCAACTCTTGAAGCGTTACAAATCACCTGGCCCAGATGACTTACCTCCGGCTCTTTTTAAAGATGGTGGTGACTTTTTGACTAAGGAATTGACGACGTTGTTTACAAAGGTTTGGGAACTAGAGTGTGTACCAACGTCATGGAATGAGTCGATAGTTGTCCCTATCTTTAAAAAGGGTTCACGTCGTTCCTGTAACAACTATCGGGGGATAAGTCTACTTCCGATTGCGTCCAAGCTATTGGCTTCCGTCATACTTCGTAGGTTGTTCAAAACCCGAGAAAGATTGACTCGCGAGGAGCAGGCTGGGTTTCGTTCTGGTCGAGGATGTATTGATCATATCTTCACCCTCCGCCAAATGTTAGAACACCGCCATACTTATCAAAGGCCAACAATCGTAGTGTTTCTTGACATCAGGGCTGCCTTCGATTCGTTGGACAGGACTGTTCTCTGGGATTGTCTATTGAAGAAGGGTGTGCCTGAGAAGTTTATTAACATCCTAAAAGCCCTATATAAAAACACCTCAGGCAGAGTGAGGGCATACAACCACCTCTCTCCATTGTTCCATTCGAGCAGTGGGGTTAGGCAGGGTTGCCCAATCTCACCATTCCTCTTCAACTTTGCCATCGATGACATTCTGGAAACAGCTCTGATGAATGTAAGTAATGGTGGTGTGGATCTGTTGCCTGGAGAAAGACTTCTCGACCTTGAGTATGCGGACGATATTGTCTTACTGTGCGATAATGCCCAAGGCATGCAATCCGCACTTAATCAGTTGGCAATCAGTGTCCGTAGGTATGGTATGTGCTTTGCACCTTCGAAGTGCAAAGTACTTCTACAAGACTGGCAGGATTCCAATCCTGTACTCACCCTGGATGGTGAGCAGATAGACGTAGTTGAGAAGTTCGTGTATCTGGGTAGCTGCATAAGTGCTGGTGGGGGTGTGAGTGATGAGATCAATGCACGTATAGTGAAAGCCAGAGCGGCTTATGCCAATCTGGGCCACCTTTGGCGCCTTCGTGATGTTAGTCTGGCTGTAAAAGGTCGGATCTACAACGCGTCGGTGAGAGCAGTTTTGCTCTATGCTTGTGAAACCTGGCCTCTCCGAGTTGAGGACGTTAGACGACTCTCTGTGTTCGATCATCGCTGTCTCCGAAGGATTGCTGACATTCAGTGGCAACACCATGTCAGTAATGCAGAGGTTCGGCATCGTGTGTTCGGGCACAGAGATGATAATTCAATTGGTGTCACCATCTTGAAACACCGACTTCGGTGGCTTGGACATGTTCTCCGAATGTCGTCCCAGAGAATTCCACGTCGTGCATTATTTGCCGACTCTGGGACTGGTTGGAAGAAGCGGAGAGGTGGTCAGTGCATGACATGGTGTCGTGGCATGAAAGAAAGCTGCAAAGGACTGGCTTGTGTTGGTCCTTCACGACTCCCTGGTTGGGGTCTGAGAGATGGTGCTACACAGTGGCTAGAGACGTTATCAGATATGGCTCAGAATAGAAGCCAGTGGCGATCCTGCTGTAACCTTCTTTTACTTTCTTCATAAAATGTGGTTCTGTCTCCCTTACCTGAAAGATTTCTTCCGATTGTACCTTTGCGTTCCCTGATTACTAGCACATTACCTTACACCAATCTCTTCGTTATTGTTCTCTCTTTTTTTGTTGCGCTCCTTAGCTTTTTTTTTCTTTCTTTGTATTCCTCTCGAATTTTCATTGTTTTGTGTGGCGCATATATATTGGCGCTCTCTTGTACCAATATTCATGTGTCCAAATAATAATAATAATAATAATAATAATAATAATAATAATAATAATAAGCACCCTTAAATAATTTTGTGTATTGAATTTAGCTTAGTTTGTTTCTTACTTTGCATGAAATGAATAACCAAGGTAGTCACAGATATTATTGCTAGTAAAAGTTTGAATTATCATGCTGTTGATATTCAAAAACGGAATTTTGGTTAGTCTTTCTTGTTGCGTGTGGATCTCGTGTACATTACTTCGATATAGCCACTTTGTGTAGAAGACTGCCGCGCGTTCTGGAATACATGTTTAAACTCTCATCATGCTCTAATACGATCACGCATTCGATTGTGCCGACGCAGAAAAGTAATATTAAGAAGACTTATTAGAGTTGAACTCAGCGACAAGAAAGTTAACGGTAAATTTGATGAACAACTGAAGTCAAATTTAGGCAATTTTTAAAACGAAGCTAACCTAGATGTTGTTTAGAAAGATATACGAACAGTTGTAGAAACAGCAGAGACATCTACTGTTGATTTGAATCAAAGAGTTACCAAAAACCAGTAGATTTCTGCTACATCTATTGCACTAATAAACTCTCGTAAACTTATTCCATTAGGATCCGAACACGATGACGAGCGAAAACAAATCAGATCTAGGTTAACCAAAAGTCTACAAAATGATCGTGACCAGTGGTGGGGAACGACAGCAAAATAGGTGAAAAAGGCAAAGGCTGTAGATAACACGACAGCCTTTCAGATTAATAAAAGAAATCGGAATTAAGGAGTCAAGTGTGATAAAATCTCGGAAAATTACGACGCTTATTTGCTCTCAGTCGAGACGTTTAGAACGATGGGCGGAACACTTTAAAAAGCAGTTCAGCTGGTCTTCAGTTAATCTACAACTATCCACAGCCTGAATGGAAAATTAAAGTAGGTCCCTCGATTCTAACTGAAGTTCAAAGGCT